CCTCTATACGAACTCCAAGCTTGGATCGAAGCTGCCTTGTTTTTGTCCACAAAACTGTACATCAGAAGTAAGAGTAGGAGACATTTATAGTCTGAGGGGTGTATTTAAATGACTTGTTTAACAAGACAGAGTCAGAGCAAATTTGGTGCAAGATACCTCTGCTCACCACCAATTAGATTATCCTGGAGAAACCAAAAGAGCAACAAAATAAATGGGTATAAAACAAGCCCACAAAATGCCTTTCATCTGAAAGATGAGAAGCACGATTTTGTAGCATTTCATTTTTTACTATCAATGGTTAAAAAAGTTATTTCAGAGATCCTGAAGGAAGCCTGCATCACTCAATAAACATTGAAGGGGTTAGCTGAAATCCAATTATTTATATTTAAACATCTACCTGTAAAAATTGATCTTTCACTCATTTCTCCTTTGTATACCAAGTGTAAGCAAGATCACTCAGCACACTGAGTAGACAGAATGAAGCTTTCAGAGCTACCTAGAATTGTATCCAGGCAACTTGCTTAGCAGGAAAATATAATCACATCCTTATGCCTTCAAGTGTCCAGAGTCCAGTGGTTCAAATCAAAGCTTGTTTTGAGTGTCTCTGGGTGAAAGGGAAGAGTACCCATTGTTATTCCCCTAAGTGGTGTGTCATGCAAGAGGGGACAAATCATCTTCAATATTTGTTGAACATGGATAAACAAGCAGTAGAACAAAAGAACTCTAACATCAAGAGGGGTTAACCAAAAGTCTCTTTCTCAGCCAAGCTCAGTGTGATTTCTTGCTGTAAAAAAAGGAATCCTCTGAGGTAAAGTCTTTGGCTGGACTAAAAATGGAAACAGAATCAGGAGGCTCACATGAAACCTCAGTTTTCACCAGGAAGAAAAAACTTTTCTTCTTCTCTTAGTGAGGAGAAAGAGGAAGGAGATAAAAGGGAAAAACATCCTGATTTAAAAATAAACTCAAATCACTGTTCTGCAATAGAGTGCACTGAAGATGACTTGGCACATTAGATGCTTTGGTCCTTAGAGAAACCTGAACAAGGGCCATGTAAACAAGTGCTGCTTTCTCAAACACCTGAGAAAAGACAGACAGCTGCTATCAGAACCTGGACCTTGAAAATTAAATGTTTGAAAACATTTCCTTTAATTTGAGAGGAGACCTACAAAAGTCATGTCCCAAGCTGCAGTCAGAGACTAACTAAGGGGCTATTAATGAGAAAGTGGAACCTCTTCAGTGGATCTTCCACATACCTGTGTAAGAGCCTCCCTGCCAAGGCAGCGATATCAAAGGCTGGTAAAAAGACAACTCAGGATTTAATTATGGGGAAGCTCAAACTGAAACTTAATCCTACATAGAATGCAATTTCTGTTAGAAATCCATTTTTGCTCCAGGGCCCTGAAAGTCATGGAATACTGTAGGTTGGATGGGACCTCTGGAATCCAGCCAGTCCAACTGCCCACTCAGGGAAGGGACAACTGCAAAAGTTGGATTCAACTTCCAAGTTAAATAATTGCATTCAAGAACCCTACTTAGTCAAGCTCTGAGCACACCCAAAGACAATTCTACAGACTCTTCCCTCAGCTGTCTTGAAAAGTGCTTTTATGTCAAAGGATTAGGGAGAACTTGTTTTTAATCCAAATTTGCTTAAGCTCTTTGCTATTGACATAAGGAAAGAAAGGCATTAGCCCACCTCTCAGCATTACAGCATTAATGTTTAGGTTGTGTTTTGCTGCACAAATTTCTGGCTTCTCAGACCTTTCAGGTTCTGTCTATCTACACCCACATGGTGGGGGTGGCACGAAGCACTGCCATACAACCTTAGCTCTCCTTCAATTCACTGAGAACTGCTGAACTGTAACTGCTGCCAAGCCTGTGACACCAAACAGCAGCACTTGCAGACCTTCACATGATTGAGGTGGCTTTGTTCAAAAAGCTTGGGGTGGAGATTTAATCTTCCCTGCAGCAGAGAGGCAGTTTGAACATCCAATTGCTCTTGAGAGAAGACTGGGGATGTAGGACAACTGAACACTCCACCTTTGGGAATAATCCAACTCAACAAGGTAAGTTGGATTCAGGCAGGGACCACAAAAAAAAAAGACTATTTTTAATCCTGTGTCTCTTCTAGGGCAGAAGAGGGGAGGAAAAAAAGGGTCTTTATTATAGCAACAGAAATGCTGGGTGGCATTTGGGCATTTGACAAAGAATGGTGAGGAAGCCTTCCAGCCAAGAGATTTATCTCACTTGACAGAGTAATACTGGGATGGGATATGATCAGTGCAGGCTTTGGCCTATCACAAGCCATTTCTGGGAAAGAAGATAGTGTGATATTTTCAACTACATAAAGGAAATAGATGCTCTGGGAAAAGAAAAGAGATGACAACACTTTAGGGACAGGAAAAAGTGGACTTGAATTCAAGGGAACAAAGCCCTGCACTAAAAATTAGCACAAGAATTTTCTGAAGAAATTAGATAATATCAACAACAGTGAGTTGACATCAGTGCCCTCTGCACAAACCATTTCCCTTACTGTAAAGGAAAGAGATTAAAAATGGGTTTGATACAGCCTGAAGCAAAGAACCTTTGCAGACAAAACTATCTGGAGCATCTTGCTGAAGAATGCAGTGTGCTGTTTGCCTCTTGCAGCATGACAAATCACATGAGGAGGAGACAGCAGAAATAAATCCATTTCACCCCAATGTCTCCCTGTAGAACACTGCAGGCACAGGTAAAGCTAACTGGTATTTTTTATTTTTCCTGTCTCTACTTTCCTTTTCAAAAAAGCTCCAATAAAACAAGAAAAATTTCTCCCAACAGCCTTTAGCACAGGCACGTTAAAATGTTTGCTGGATATGGCTTTGTATTCACAATTTCTTGTTCCAGCAGAAACTGCAAGCACTTTGTTTCTATAACTAAGACAAAATTACTCATTTGATGCATTTGCTTTTTCCTCTTTTTACCTGGAGTTTCCTTTGCAGTGAAGGAACAGTTTTTCTCTGAATAACCATTTTCTGCTGCCCTGGGGAAATCTCAGCAATCTCTTCTAGAAGCAACGCTCCGGTCCACAGCAGCAAAGTGGAAAAATGCCCTTATTTTGTATTTCACGTGTGTGCCCAAGATGATTTGGGAATCTGTACTTCATTTATATTTGCTAGCAGAGCTCTGTCTAGACAAGTGGTCTGACACACAGTGGCACCAGACTCCTGGGGAGCTCCTGCACACCCCATCTTGAGAGGTGACAAACATGCAACAGCCACCCAAAAAGGGACTGAACTTCAGTAAAGCATTCAATAGATATTTTCCCTGTAGGTCAAAGCCTCCCCCGTGTGCTCTTAAGACTATACAAGATTAAGCAAGGTCTGTATGAATCATTTTGCTGGTGGCAAAATCTTAAAAAAAAAAACCTTTAAAGTGAGGAGGCCACAGTGCACGTGATGTTAGTGAGGAGATGAAAGCAAGTTTCTAAAGCAGAGGAAGGCACCTGGGTATTTGGGGATGACAACTTAATCTCATCTTCCTACACTGCAATAGATGATGGGCAACAGCCTCCAAAAATCAGATTTAGGGAATCCAACAGAAATCCAGCCTCAAAGGAAAAATCATATTTAGGGAATTCAACAGAAATCCAGCCCAGGTTTTCATTTAAACAAACAGGGAGTGCAGCTTTGAGAAGAAGGAAAATGCCCAACAGTGTTCTGTTTAGCACACTGGATGATAAAAGGAGCATCACGAGAAAGGTCCACTCCATGAAAACTGAATTAAAGATCTGAGATTAGATTGAATATGTCTAGTAGCCTCAGCCTAATCTCTGGCAAAACCAACAGCACAATAAGCACCTTCTACTTTTCCTTCTACCAAGGAAAGGCTCAGGGATGTGACAGCAGAGAGTTTCAGGTCAGCACTTGAAATATTTTGACAGAGCTCTGCAGGAAAGACTATACCCTGCTTCAGCCACTGATTTTCATCTCTTACTCACACCAACTGCACTACTTTATATATATATATATCTATCTCAACACTAGCATTCCACTAAAGATCTATATCTCCCTCTGCTGAACAGATAAAGGGAACAGCAGCCTTGATGGGAACTGCCAACTGGGTTTTTAACCTTTGTATTCCACGGATTCCCTATGGCTCAAAGTTACAGATGACATTTGCAGGGTTATGGATAATGGTCTTTACACACTGGGGACATTTTTTTCCTGACTTGTCTAAAGCTTTTGACACAGCAGCCCATAAAACCTCCACCCTAAATAACTTGTTCACATTAAGGAGAGAAGGAGGAGACATAAAACATTAGAGATCTTAATCAGTTGAGAAAAGGGCTCGGATGGGAGGGGGGAGCAAAACAGATTTCTCCAGAACTCCTTTGAAACTTTGACCTTTATGGTTTTAAAGAGCTACAGTGATTTCTCACAGGAATAAGGGATAGATGGGTTTTGTGCAATTCAAGGAGAGCCATATATCAGACTGTTGGAGAAAAAATATTCAGTACACACAAGGAAGATTTACTAATGCTACAAAACTAATGAAGACAACAGCAGTAACAACCTGCAGCCTTTGGAAGAACTCATTCTTTATGTCTGAAAGAAAAAAAATAATTATGCACTGTTCAGGCTCCTAATCCAATGTCTCATTGACTACGTAACATGTCTGACTCTATATGCACCACTGCCTGGAGGTTGATGTCCAAACTTTTATGACACCTAGAACACATGAAGAAAAGTCATTTTATGGTAAAAAGTGCTTCAATCCATTCTGTTTAAATGGACTACACCTTGAAAGAGGTGAAACTTCCCACGAGCACCAGGAGCCTTATTTGTACAACGAGTGCTGGGTACAGCTATCAAAGCCAAAAAAAAACTATGGCATTTGCTGAACAGATTTCTCTCCATTCAAGATACATATTGCACACAATATTTGGTCTTATTGCAAAGCTTTGTCAGCCCTGGTTCTTGAATGACTCTAAGTTGCACGTGTCATAGAACTGTGATGGAAGGAAAGGGCAGCACAGACTCCCTCGAGCCACACACTCCAACAGGTCAAGATCACATAGATAAGGGCTTCAGACACTAAGACAAGTGGATATGAACAGGAACATCCTCCCTGAGATTTTAGGAGTGCGTTTACGAAGCAACAGCGTTAAGGTTTGTGGTATCAGCAAACATCATACAAAGAGAACCAAACAGGCTTCAGAGCAGTCAAAGTGGCTCCAGGGAAAGTGCAGGCTGCTGTCATATACAGTACAACACACAGCTGAGGACCTGAGTTGGCCAAATTACCAGCCAGACCCAATTTTAGTCCCAAACTACATTTTGCTTCACTAGCCTGAGGAGATATTAGCCTTCTTAACTAGGTTCTTGAGATGATGATCTAATTCATTACCTAAACTGCCCTCGCAGCAGACTCCAGTGGAAGAGAGGAAGGATCATAAATATAGTGTCACTAACCACTAATATTCCAGCTTCAGATAAGAACTCTTAAACCAAAAGCCAAAGGTATTATGGATGGATTATGCAGACAGGGAAACAAGCACACTGTGTGTGTGATGATACACAGGTATCCCACGTGGAAAAGAAGCAATGGACCCTCTAACTGGGCAACGAAATGAGTCACGTGAAGAGCTTTGTACACACATCTACAAGCCTCACTTTTTGCTGTCTTCTTGAGATTCAAATTGCTAAGAGGAACCTCACCCAAGCATTCAAAACTCTACTCTTAAAAACTCACACAGTGCTCAGATGCTCAGACACCTCTGGGGTGAGAGCCCACGCTTCACTGACAGGTTATAGATTTTCCTGTGCAATGTGACAATTTTTGCCAGTTTGTGTGTTATAAAAGTCTAAATGTGCATAGCACCCAAATAAAAGGCTGGAACAGTTAATCTACACATCAGTCTGAACAGGAGATAACACAGGAAGAGGATGACATCCCAATGAGCAATTCCTTTAAATGAGCTACCAGAAAAACTGCAGCTTTGGAAACTGCCGAGGTTGGAAAGGATTAAACTCTTAAGGGATACAGCAAGAGCTAGTAGCAAGTGCAATTTGGCATTCTGAGAAAAAGATGAATGTTGGAGTTGCCTATCTGTTCCTGAATTTCAAGGCTCATTTAAATTTGAATTTGAATTTTGTAACGTTGACTAAATGACTTCTGTGCCAGTTGTAAGACAAAATGTTCAGGAAAAGAATATTTAAGCAAACAATTAGCACATTCATTTCTGTTATTGACAGATTTATCCTTTCCTCCAGAGAATTAAATGGAGCTTTTCAAGTTCATTTTATTCATTCACTTGTTACTGAAGTGTGATGACCTCTGGGATAAAGTCAGGAGACTCCCAGCAGGTCTCTGTATTGCTCCTCACTATTCATTGCAAATGCTTTATCCAAGACAAGTCAGACACTACTTTTTCTGTGCAAGTAAAAAAGTTGTATCAGCTTTTAAACTCTTGAGGCTTATGTGAAAATTGCACATGCAACATGTCCTGCACACTGATGAGAGGTTTCACATCCCTTTGTGATTTCCTAGGAAGCAGCTGCAGGAAGACACTGTGCAGTGCCTGGCAGGTCTGGCAGCATCTCTGATGTGCAGATACAGAAAAATCATCTTAACTGCAAAGATCCTAAGTTTAAATAACATGGCATAGCTGCACTTCTCCTCATTGTCAGTCCTGAGCAGAAGCAGAATGTGATCTACCTACCAGAGACAGAAAGACTGTCTTCACCAGGACAGCAGGGCTTGGTTGGATATTTCACTTTCATTTACATCCCAGCACCCACGAGGAGGGATAACATTAAAGTCAAACCTTCAAGGATGTGCTCTAACCTACAAAATCTCACTAAGCTCAGTGCTTCTGCTACAGTAAGTACCATTGGTACAAAAATATGATCACAGCCACGCCGGCTGAAAGTAAAGATTCCTCCTAACAACCCTTGAAGTGCTGTAAATGCTTCCAAAGGTTACAACAAACAATATCTTTGCAGTGAATTCTGGAATGAGTTTGAATTGAAGGTGACAAGTGTGCACTTCCAAAACGCAGACCTTGTCCCCTACTTCCCTGCCAACAGCCTCGGAGATCATGGACTAGAGGAAGGTTATTGAATATCCACAAAAGGGAAAGACACCTTAAAGCCCTATACAAGTAATGGGCAAGTCCTGGAGTGCTGTATGCCACTTCTCTTTCATAAAAGCTGATTTTTGAGCAGCGCCGTGAAGTTTTTCCACAGGCTTGAAAGAAATGCCTAACCTTTGTCTGTGCCTCTGAACACTGTGCTCAATTCCCATGCTGAAGGTAATCTTGCAGCTCAAACCCAAGGAAGCTGCTTAACTCCACCCTAAACATGCCATATATTCACACAAATAAGATTCTTTCTGAGTGACTGCAGACTTTCAATACAGCAAAGTACTTACCCACGAGAATCTATTAAGGTAAGACCTTGCTTTCAGCTGGAAAACATTAATTCTCTCCCAAAGAGGCACACTGCCTTCTTGGTCATTAATATCCCATCATTCTCCTGAGCTGAGTGACAAGCCAGGCAAGTCACCCGGATCTGAGGCAGCGAGAAAGGTTAAGTCTACAAGGAGATGTTTGGAAAAGAGAAATCACTGCTCCAGTTACTGCAGTAGAAAAATCAATATTTCACTGGACAGGATGGTCTCCAAAGTGGTCCCGCTTGGACACCAGGTATATTAGCAAAATGGAATGATGCTGATAAAGCCACATGCAACCCTGAACTGTAAGTGCATCAGGGCCATGCAGAGACCTTAAGGGGTGGGTAAATAGTTGCAAATGAAAACAAAGCTGTTGACAAAGCAACAGGAGTCCTTCACCATGCTGATACTGACCCACAGTATCTAATTAGTTTCATGGCCATTCAATGATGAAATAAAGGTGGCAGGATTTAAAGCCAGAATACAACATCATTCTGTAACGTTGCAATGGTTGCACAGGAAGCATCTTTAAATAGCATGGAAAACATGCTGGGGAAGGGCAAAACTACCTGTGAAAGAAAATCATGAAGTGAGGAAGGGAATAGGGAAGAGAGAACAGGTAAGAAATAGAAGAAAGCCCAGCGCCTAAGAGAAGGTCTCATGTTCACTGAGGATTTGCCCCTCCTTAGTTAATACTGGTCTCAAGCCAGGCTGCCAAAAGCCTGTCTGGGGCTGGCACTGGTGCTCCATGGTTAGGGCAGGAGTTAACCCAGAAAAAACACAATTCAGTTTTGACCACACAATTGCCAGTGTGAAGGAAGAGACGGAAAAGCAAAATCTGGGATGTTTAGGAGGGAGTATGGCATCCTCAGTGCAGGTAGTCTCAAACTCTGTGGCTGTAAGCAGTAAAACCAACATCAATCAGCACTGCCCCATGTTTTCCCTGCCCTGGCCACTTTAAACCCACACTGTCAAAAGTTTGTAACAACACAGCAAAGCTCTTTGAAGACCAATCAAAGCTAAAATTAACCCAGCAGAACCTTAAGTTCTGACCATGATGTTCTCCCAAGCCCACCTGTACTTCTCTGCTGCTTCCACTTATTTTGTGAAGCTTTTGGAGAGTCTCTGTCCTGGATTTCTGCAGCCCTGAGAAACCCCTCTCATCCCCCACAACCCAACCTGCTACATTTGTGGATCCTACATGGAAAAAAAAATACAGCATGTGAGAAGATGATGCCTCTCAAGTCATCGAAACTTCGGATTCCTGAGTTCTTACACAATCTCTGCATAATATATGGGAAATAAAAGGTCAGTGGTAGCTGCTGACAGCATTACAGCATGCTGGGAATAAAGCATTGCTACTATCAATAGCTCCACTGAGCTCACTGGAGTTCACAGACAGTCTGATCTCACCCAGACCGCCCAACCTGGACATCCCAGTTGCAAAGCGCTGGATGCATTTTCAGCCGTTAGTTTTCTTTTTAAAGCAGGGAAACGGTACTGCTGGAAAATATATGGGTTGAGGACATCAGGGCTATTGCCGAGGCAGAACAATAACAGCTTCAGTCATGATTTATAAAGCTAATTTCAGGATAAAGCCCTATCTATTTTTAAAAAGAGGAAAAGACCACAAAATTACCTGATTTCGTATTCGGCAGTGATTACAGTTTATACTGGCCAATGTTTCAACCCAGTAAGCATGCAAATAGAATATTTTATTAAAGTAACAGACAAAAGGGGTCTTTTCTTCTTTATGTGCCCTCTCCACTGCAACAGATTTTATCAGGCTTCAGACACACCAGCTTCCCTCTCACCTGAAGTGCCTGTCTGATTTTAAAAGAATTATTTCCTAAACCAAATACCCATTTCTCTCCTCTATAGGCTCTGCTTCCAGTTTATTGCTCATTTGTTCTGTTTTAGGCTACCAAAATGATTTTTTTTGGTCATCTAAAAGCTTTCAGAGTGAAGAGTCCAGAAAAGAAACATATATCATCCATATTAGATGCTAATCCTGGGATTTGCTTCTACAGTGGCACCTAAAGTATGGTTTTCTATGGCATCTGAAGCCAGCTCAGTGCTCTCTACTGAAGGAGAGTGTTCCTCATGGAGATGTACAGTCTAACAACACTTTTGACCACGGCTACATCTCAATCAGAGCATCACAGCCACTCCTGTGACAGATACTCCCATTTTGCTCATTGTGCCACAGGGTTCACAGCCTGATTTTGCTTCAAAATCCATCCCCAGTCCTTCAGTTCCTTCCTTTTATTTGGCAATGGAAAACCCGTTTCAAGGAGGCATTCTGAATAGATGGATGCAAGTGGGCAAGGGCAGAGGAAAATCTTTCCTTAGGGAAGGTGTGAAAGAACAGGACCTTACGAAAAGATGCTCCAGCTTTATGGATGGTTAAGAAAGACCCTCAAGAGAAAATAAAAAAAAAAAAATCAGGAAGTGAAAAGTGAAAAGAAAACTCATAATTTCAAAACATTATCACTGAAAAAAACTTAGATTTACAGTCAAAGTTACATTGCTTAAGCAAGGTATGTTGGCTTTGAGCTATTCTGCATGCAGAAAAAGGGGAGGAACTGAAACGTGTATGTAATTTAATAACAGTACAGTAAATCAATTTACTTCTTCCTTTTATATCTCAAATATTAAGCTTCCCCCAACTATTTCATCAACTGCTTATCTCATCAAGCCTTAAACTATAAATATATACACACATAAATACAGACACATATATAGCATTAAGGTCCATCAAATCAACAAATAAAGTGAGAGCATATACAGGAACAGCACTTCTGTTTGAATACTGCACAAGACTGTGCAGGGCATGCAATGCTAGGAAGTCTTGGCTCTTTTATCCTTGAATAAATCACTGAATAATTAATTGAAACAATTTTGAAGACCTGAAAATCCTGTTAAGATGTGAGCAAGCCAAGGCAGAGCTGGGACAGCTTTCTAAAATTGCCCACTACATTGGTCACTGAATTAGTGTTCAGCATTTTGCCCTGCTCATCTTTATTCCTATTGGGGGCAATCAGGAATGGTCAAGTCAGTGTGCCCAGTCTGCTGCTTTTTCTTTTTTTTTAAATACTACCTAAGGAAACCAGCTTTGACTCTTCCTTTATTGATTTTATAGCCCACGTGACAACTCACTATTTAACAGCCACGTTCCTTTTTCCACACACTAAATGAAATTAAGCAAAACTAGTTGAAACTGATGGAGGGGAAAAACCTTTGTCTCCATCATAACACATTAAACATGACTGTTTTACTATGTGAAGTATGAAAGTAGACACTAAGTCATTTCTTTGCTCTGATTGTTTTTTACGAGTTCAGAAATAACATCTTTCAAGTCTCCGGTATTTCTTTAAATTTAATATGCCATTTTTTTCCACATGTATTTTATGGCTGAAAGATCAATTAGAATTCCTTTGTGGGAAGTCATTCCCATCAGTTCAATTACTCCATGTAATTGTTTCAGTAATTGTAGTTAAATATCCATTTTAATTTTTATTTAGAGACTCAATTACCAAGCATTAAGCAGATGTAAACACTTCTTCCCTGGTACAAATACCATTTTACCCCTTGGCATTCTCTAAATCATAAAAACATGCATGTAGTTCCTTTAAAACCTCCACATACCTTATAGGGTTTGCTAATGCTTCTTTCAAAACACAGGTGAAGACAAACCCCATGGTTTGTTAAACCTGGGTGTGGGGATAGAAACAATCCTAACTGCTCCCACCCCCTGTGTCCTGCAGCTCCAAAAGCCTTCATGAATTTAGCTGTGCCTTATTCCCCCACTGCCTTTCAGGTGCCAGGAATCCCAGCTACTGATTTATCAGGAAGAATTCTGTTTCATGATGCTCTACATGTATATGTTAATCAGTGGCTGATCCATTTGGAGCCAGTTTTTCTCTAGAGCCATTCCCAGATAGCCCCCCTCATTCAAATGCTTCTAGTAGGTATTGTCATTCAATTCTATTTTGGCATGTAATTCACTAAACTTCAGAGATATGCCTGTCAAGCAAGTCAATATTTTACACTCCAACGTGAACACATTTTTTGCAGCGTATCAAAATGCAAATTTACTTTTTTTCCCCCCCCTACTAAGAGTTACAACTGAAGTAGAACCAGCCTGGAAACGGGAACACTTGAATGAAACAGCAAACCAGCAGCTGCAAGAGTGATCAACGTATCTCCTGAAGTCCAGAGAGAGCAAATGTTGTCAGAACATCTACTTACAAGTGCATTAGAACTCCCTGAGGGGCAAGGAAATGCAGAGTTGGTTAAACATTTATAGGCACCTCAGTCTCAGTTACTGTATGCACAGCACGGTGCAGTTTCCTCCCAGAGTGACACCTGCTCTGCTCTCAAATCTTTGTATTATCACCAAGAACCATTTAATCTAAGTGAATAAAAGGCTCATCGTGCCTTCCCCGATGACTACTTCAAAAAAACAAACAAAAACAAACAAACAAAAAAAACAAACAAACAAAAAACCCACAACAAAAAACATTCACAGCCATCTTCACCCAACCCAGGAAAACACGAGCCCACCCAGAGGGATTGGAGTTGGAGTGAAGGGAACAGGCACAGCCACTGTTTTACAGCACACTTCAGGTGAAACCAGTTAAAACCCCCAGTATGGCTCTGGAGTATTTATAGAGCAACGCTGTAAATCAGAAAGAACAACTATCACCATGTTAACACATTAACTTTGAGACTCTCACAGCCTAGCTTTGCCTGGTT